GCAGATATCGATCGCGTGTGTCTCTAATGTTCGGGCAAGTGCCGCCCGTTGACCGATTTGCAGCAATGAGCGTACATTGAGGCATGCCAATCTGAAGGAGGATCGAGGGCTCCAAATGGAAGCAGATGAACAGGAATGGACCGCTTGCTTGGACACAGTCCTGTTGACAGGGCAGGAATGACGTTCTGCGTTCACATGTTGAAACTAAAAAACAAGCGACTATTGAAGCAAGGTGGGGGAGGGCCGAGAATTGGGGTTGAAAATAAGGGGGATAAACGTGAAGCTGGAACGGGACGATAAGGGTGAAAAAGCGCGAGAAGGGGAATAAGAAAAGGGGAAGGCCTGAGCAATAGCATCCAAACCCCTATCCACCCTGCCCGATGCAGCAGATAGGGCACCGTTGATCATCCTCTGCGACGGCCAGAGTATCAAAAATTTGTTTGAAGTGCGATTCATTGTATTGCGTGGGCAGGAAACTGTCAGGTTGCCCAGGTCTAGACAGGAGAACAATTAGGTTTCTCAACCAAAACCTTTGGTTCAAAAACCTGACCGCAAGCCAGCGGGTTTGGCGTTGGGCTACAAGGAGTCCGTTTTAAGGAGTAAGGTGCCACTTCATTCCAACCCCAAACTGGAGGACCAGGAGGCTGAGTTTGTCTGGCCTCTAACCATTGACCAATCTGGTATGAGTGGCTCTGAAGGTGCAAAAATGCACTACGCAGCATAACACAATGGATCACTGAGGCACACAAACCATCGCACCACGGTAAGGTCCAGCTTCATTGCGATGGAGCCATTGTACTTGCTGTTTGTATACTTCATCAATGCATTTGACACGGTGAACCGCGAGGCACTGGTGTTTGGTAAATTTAGTTGCCCAAGTAAGTTTGTAAGTCTGGTCGAATAACCGCAGAGAGCTATGCGGGCGAGGGTGCGGCTTTGTGGACAAACGTCAGATGACTTTAATGTTGTCTAAGGCGTGAAGCAAACCTGTCGAAGCCTCTGCCTTGTTTAATATTTACGTAGAAGTAATGATGTCATGTGCTTTTAATGCTTGGGATAACGACGTCCGCCTCGGGGGTCGTAATGCTGGTGGGTTGCTGAAGTTCCATCATTTCGGGGCGAAAACGTAAGTGTGTGAGACAACCATCCGTAAGTTGTTGTTTGCCAACTGTTGCTTGCACAGCCAGCTTAACTGCAGCGTATGACGACGGCTCTCGTGCTATGGCGGCGGCCATGTTTAGGCTCATCACCAACACAAGCAAGACTGTTTCTTTTTCAGCAGTTACCAGAAATGGAGTAAGTGGGCTGATGCAGTTTTGGAGGTCTCATCGAAATTTCGTTATCAGCAAGCTGAGCATCCGCGTATCGAAGACGAGTGCTGTGTCTAGCAACTTGGAACATCGAGTGTGGAAGAATCACCAGCTGACCATTAGCACCAAGCTGACAGTGTACAAGTCGATGGCGCTGTCGGTTTTCCTTCCGACAGCGAAACTCTCTACACAAGAAGGACATAATATATGTAGAGCGCTTTCATCTACAGTGCCTGCGTCAGATTCTGTGCAGTCGTTGTTGCGGCAGTTTCTGACACGGAAGTGCTCCGCCGAAGTGACATGTAAGCAGTGGATTGCGTACTTCGCTGCGACATCTAAGGTGGCTCAAACACGTCCGATATACGGATTTGACTGGAATATCGAAACATATGCTATGGAGTCAACTTAGTACCAAACCGAAGCTACGTTACCAGGACACGATCAAGGGAGTTTATCACGAACTAGTGTTGAGTTTATGTGCTGGGAAGCAATAGCAATGGGTCGCAGCTAATGGTCTGGGCACACAAAGTATGTTGTCGCTCAAGTGAATCAGAAAAAAACCGTTGCATCAGGAGGAAAAACGCGTGTTACAGAGGCGAAGGCGGCGATGAAGCCTAGCTCATAGACATCAAGCATCATCATCGTCAGTATACATGTTAGCTGGAAGTGGAAAACATCCCAGCTATGGTGCCGTAATACATAAGAAAGGAAGAAAAACAAAACAGGCACGCCGGCTGTCAGCAGTAATGAACGGGACACAGTGCGGTCGTGTGCCCCAGCCAAGTCAGTCAGCCAAGAGGGAATGATCTCAGAGGTGACGAGTCAGCATCATCAGTGCAGCGATTGTAAAGTACAATGCTTCCAATTTCATTTACTAACCCAGGTCAAAAGCGCGGTGGATGCGGCATGTGTGTTGGATCATCGCTACAGTTAACCTGCACGTGTGACCACGCACTCATATTATTTCACATTAGTTGTTTGATGACTGAGATTCCAAATCTGCCTGCGTTTGATGATAACGTTGGTAAAGTGCCTACCTGTCGAAAGGCGCCAGCTCGACTGTACGAGCGCCAGGAGATAGTTGGTCGTTGCTATACGGATATGTGGTGCACCGTTTTCGTGACAGCTAAGACTGTGTTCTATCCCGTGTGAAATAGGCTTAGGCACAGCGAACCCCTAGGTACGCCTAGTACGCGTGTTTCCGTCGCTTCGCTGGGTAGATCAAGCGTAACGAACCAGGGCGGGCAGCTGGGTTCACAGGGGATATAAGCGGATGTTGAGCGCAAATTGAACTGGGAATGAACATGTTCAGCTCATCGGTCCAAGCGTCTCTGTAAGTTGGCACTCAGCGAACCATCCGCTTCGCATATAGTCTCACTGACACCAAGATTTCTGTGACCAGTGGATCGAAGGAACTAGAGGAGCTTGCGAGTATTGCCAGAGACGGCAACGGCCTCCATTTCGAAAGCACGCTGGGATCACCAGGCTTTACGGTCACTGCGTTGGCTTTGTTTGAGCTCCCGACTGACAGAACGGCGCACACCATCATGATTAGACTCCGTTGGGATATTCCTGCGGCAGTCAAATAAATCCAAAAAGCAGGTGGAGATCCAGACCTTTATAGGGTGCTGGGTAAGACCACAGACTTGCTGTCCGGAAGGGATCATGGTCCTCTGTATGCATGTCCAGGGTTCATCAATATCTTGCGGTGGATCGCAACCAAGTGCACCAGCCATGAAAGCTTCATAGCTCTGCTGAAGCGAAACAGTAGATAGATTGTTTGTCTATCTTACAGCGCTTCATTTTCGGGGACCATCGGAAACTCATGCAGATGTTCGCACAGACAAAAGCATGGTCTGAGTCAAGAAAAGTGGACCAGATGGAGCTGCAATCCTTTACACTACCTATCCATCTGAAACTGATTGTCGTATGATCGATCTGAGACCATGGTTGTCGCAAAAAAAGGTCGCCAAGTAAAGAAACGTATATAATGGCTGAAGCTGGTGCTCGAAAGAAACAGACAATTGTCTTCGCACAATGTGAGAAGTCTCTCTCCAGGGTCTAAGCGACTCCCGTAGAGTGCATTGTGATCAACGGGGTGATTTTCACATGACAAAAGACAACTGACTCGTGGAATGAGATCCCTAGGGACATTGGATCTTAACGAAATGCGATGGTTTGTGTGCCTCAGCGATCCATTGGGCTATGCTGGGTGGTGCTTTTGCACCTTCAGAACTACTCAGGCCGGATTGGTCAATGGTTAAAGGCTTGATAGACCCAGTCTCCTGGTCATTCAGGTTGGGGGTTGGAGTGAGGGTGCCTCCTTACTCCATAAGACGGACTATCTGTAGTCCAGTGCTAAAACCCCGCCGCCTTGCAGTCAGATTGGGAATATTAATCGTTCTCCTGTCAATGCCTGGACAACCTAACAGTACTCTGCGCACGCAAGAAAACACTATGACTTTCATTCAAGTAATCGCTTGATGCTTTGGCAGTCGCATAGGATAATAAATGGCACCCTATCTGCTGCAGGGTGGATGTGTTTTGGATGCTACTGCTCAAACCTTCATGTCTTCTTCTTCCCC